GAAAGAGGTGTACAAGAATGCTAGGCATAGCAGCGGGAGGCGAGTATCGGGCGCTTGTCTAACGTGACGCGAGAGCACTAGCGCCAGGCATATCAGTGGGAGGTGAGTGTCGGGCGCTTATCAGGCGTAGCAGCGGGAAACGAGTGTGAGGTGCAGAGGGCAACGGGAGAGGTTCACATGTCGGTGTGAACTGGAATATATCTGTTTAAATAGCGATAATGTTATGTATTGATTTTTATTGTTTATGGATTCACTCAGTATTACTTAGGTCGCTAAAACGCAGTATGTAAAGAAAAAGAGTAACGTGCGAGTAAAGTACTTGCTAGATAAAGTAAGATACTCACACAGTTACCAGTTACTGAAGGCAAATCCCTTCGCTTCTTTTAGACAAATAGTCATTAGTCCGAGTTGTAATAGCCGGGCCTCCACATTAGACTCTATGTTATAAACAAACTCTTAAGCAGTACGTATACTAAAAACGTACTCTTAATAGTACAAGGAACTTAAGTTTCCTAAATGGGGTTTAATGGTTTTATTAATTAATACCTTTTCCATTGTGCATATCAGATATTTGGACAAAGCCATTAAAAGGCCCCAGTAAAATACCAAACATAAGAGTTGGTCTAGTTCTATTAATAGAACTATATTTACTTTACAACTTTATGTATATCTTAATACTTTGTTAGCGAGATGGCTCAACCAAATATAGGTTTCTAGGGATTATTAACGTTACCTAGTTGATCCTCCGATCAGCCGTCCATATGTGCCAGTCTGATGAAGGCTGAGTAGGTATTTCTTGATAAGTGACAAGTTATTGGTTAAGACAATAACTAAGGACATCAAGAGTATTTCTATTTTTTATTTTATTTTTTTCTAAAGATAGGATTTTATGAGTCTCTCGGATTCGCCCCAGTGAAACATACCATAGTTTCTAATAGAGCGACAACGAAGCACTAAATAAAATCCCTTCGGCGGCAACAGTACTGAGAGAATTATATATAGGCAATGTCTCAGCCTCACAATCCCTCAGAGTATTGCTGTTTTCACGAGGCATACATAACTTTACTAAAAGTCTCATTTCGATTATTTACCTTGATATTTTCACGATACTTAGAATTTACCTACGCGTTTATTTACTCTAAGACGTTAATATCGCATTAATAGACCGAATCTTACAGTGTCAAAGTCTCCACACGCAGTAAACAACATTTATCGTATTCATAGTATTCACTGGCCCCATAAAGGCGATCCCCGGATTGAAAGAACATTTCCTCCAAGCAGTATGCTGTAATTTAAATAATAAGCAGGACAGGACGCGTGGTAAGTAAATGTTTCAACAAAATGTAGAAGCGAGCATGTATCAATGCATGCATTCATTTCTTCTTCACCTTGATCTGTATTGATATTGTAAAAATAGTGAGTTCCTAATTTATTATAAACGTATCAACGTATCAACGTTTATACTTATAATACTGGCAGTAATACTGGGATACGTTTAACGAATTAGACATGAACAAGAGCTGCGAAATTCAAGATTCTGAACATGTGACAGTATTTAGTAGAGTATGGGACTTTACTGTGGACAATTAGGTGGCTTTCCAAATATAGATTGGGTTTTCCACTGAAATTAGAATTGTACATAATATCGGAATGACACCAGCCTGACACCTGAATATGACACTTTGGGAATCTCTAATTAAAGGG